GGTTAGAGTAAAAATGATGGGTAAAAACATAACCATTATTAGTATGGCAATGAGTACACATACACAATAAATTGGATTTCTGGACAATATAGATCCATTTATTTATATAAGGTCATAATATACTTACTAATAGACCATGTTTACATAAATCACAAGACAAAGTGTAGGAGGAAGTTAAGATAAGAAAGAAACATGAAACATTGTTAGAAGTTGTTCACAATTTCTTAGGTTTTTGTGGTGGGCCGTTCATATTAAATGTTAGAAGCGCTTTAGTAATGTTTAAAACAGATTTGGAATATATATATATATATATATATATATATATATATATATATATATATATATATATATACTTTTATCTGACCGGTTCACTTTCTGCCCACAGATACATTCCACCAGAGGTAATAGGATCTCTTATGGGAGGAGGCATTGGTTAATCTCCTTTACAGGTAAGAAAATATCATGCAAGGACGATCATTAAACGATGACTTTACGAAAAGAGATTATCAATAAATATAACTCTTTATTTAGGAAAGGAAGTATGACTACCCAACAAATAGAGCAATGAGTCACCATGAAGTACTAGAAAATTTCAAAATAAGAGTAACAAAAATTAGAAGAAATATTTGTGGATCTTTCTGTCAACAAATGGATGTTTCCAAAATGAATGAGTTTTTTTTTTTCGTTTTAATATAAATGATAAACTTCTGATATGTTTAATTCCACACTGGCCAAAAATCTGTTCTCACATATTTATGATGTAAGCCAATGCAGTTCTGAAAATAAAAATGAAGACTGAATCTAACCTCCAAAAGTGCCAAGTTAGAGTAAGAAAATAAAATATCCCGCGCTGACAACATACCACGAGGGAAAAATACAACAATTCTATAGCAACTTCTGAGCTTTCCTGAATGAAATGCTCCTTTATCAGAGCTCTATTAGAATGTCTACAACACCGAGACCACATGCGGCTTGATGATGGAAGAGATGCGGCTCCTTTGTCTAAACTATAATAGTATGGGTCTCATCAAATATTTTCATTGAAGATAAGTTTATAAAAATGGTTCCTGAATTTAAAAAAAAAATTCCGACATCTGTCCAAGGGGTTAAGTTTGTAATATTTTGTAAATTTCAGAAAGGATTAACTTGTGTGCATAAAAACAATTGGTGTTCTTTAACTTCAAAAAAAAAAAATGTCAATCATTTTCCCAAATGGTTTAACATTCCACTTATAGTACAACACTATATGCTCACCAATAGCTCATTTGCGAACTTTATTTATGTTTACAACGTCCTAATATCATTTATTGTATTCTTATATTTTTTATTAATAATTGCATTACATTTTTTCTCATCTATCTGGTGTACAATTATAATAATTCTGATAAATTCCAATTTGGAAGCAGCCATTGCAATAAAATTATCCTTCGATAACTTAGTGTAGTCACTTAAACAATGCTATCAAATGATGCACAATTTTACCGTTGCACTCTTGGTTTGGATATCGTGTAACAAAACAAATATTTGCATAGCAGCAAAACACTTTTGAAAGTTGTGGCTTAAACGTTTTTTTATTATATTCTTAGATGACGAAGGATCAGAAGAGCCTTGATGTGAAGACAATGAAGGCGACGATAGTCAAACAAAGTCTTAAAGTTGTCGTAAATTTTAAATTGTCCTCTTTTTAAAATAAAATATCCTTCATTTCAAACCTATTTTTAAAAAAAAATGTCCTTTTCCTTTTTTGCATATGTAAACCCTAATTAGATTCTGTTAACTGTTACGCACCATTGTCTGTGGGGAGAAATTAATCTCCTATTTACATTTTATAGATCTATGGCTCGTTCTAAAACAGTGCATGACAAAAGATGATACCAAATGATGAAAACAATAACAAATAATGCGATTCTTGGAACAGGGCGAATCACTATTAATACGTTTTATTAAATTAATAATAAAGACCAAAAGTCCAAAATAAATATAGTTGAAAACTATTAACTTTCAGTATGTGGTGTGGCTGGTACCAGTACTATGCCGAAAACAAACATAGTGTGCAAAACTGTACAACTAATGAAAAGAAGTCTACTGTAAACAAACTCTCACACGATCCAAAACAAACCTCACTCACGGTCTGCGTATCTGTAATGCAGTCTGCTTGCCAATCACCAGTATAAATAGTCTATTCCATAGAAAATTCCAGGCGTAATACGCATTGTATTAGTGACTCGAACATTCTAAAAGTTACTAATATTTTCTACCGCATTCGAGTCAAGAAAAACATGCGATAGATGGGTATGTGGTATACAAGATCAAAAGGAATAAGCCACGCCTAATACAAACGCAGCGTCTGCTAGAGTGCCTCACAACGTGGGAAATTTGACGTTAACACATCGATTACATTACATTACCTAGACAAATATTTGGCAAAAGGTAATTGATAACAGACCCATTGGACTTAAGCTTCCATTCGTCTCTTCATAATTGACAATAAAGTTGAAAAAAAAACGGTCATTTTATAAATTTGTTTCGAACTTTTTCTTCCAAAAGCTGTGGAAAAATTTCTAAAATCCTGTACGGCCATACCAAGTTTGAAAATGGAAAATATATTGTAAATATCCAACAAAGTTAACCAGGGTTTTGCTTAAAAATATCCCGCAAAGCCTACCAAGTGTTTTACGATTAGTGAATCTAAGCCATTGTATTCAATCACTTAAATTATTTCATGCATGATTCTAAGCATTATCTGACTATTCTTTTGTCATGGTATACCTCCTGCTTGTAGAGATGTAAATAAAATGTCTAAAATCGAACATTGTAGCTTGAGAACAAGCATGGACATAATTTTTCAATATAATTGTGGATAATCATATCTCTGATTTGTCCCTCTGCATGCACCGCTATTCGTCAGATCAGCTCCATCCACCACTAATTCACGGTTAGCTAAAAAAAAAAAACTTAGTTTGTGCTCTAGTTCTCTCTAGTCTTGACTATTGTAACTCTATTCTATCTTTGAGAAATTACAAAATGTCCAAACTCACCTGCTAGGCTTATATTAAAGGCAAAAAAAAAAAAAAACGTGATTACGTCACACCACTAATTCATTCACTTCATTGGCTCCCTGTCCATTTCATTTGCTGCCCACTGATACTACTTCTATTCTAAGTGCTATTTGTTTGTTTATACAGTTTTTTCTGTTGTTTTGTTCGCTGACAAAGGCTTCCTGCCGACACGTTCGTTGTTTTGTTGCGTTCCTTTTTTCAAGTTCAACCCTGCTTTGTTTTACTCATTTTATATTATGCTAATCTCATTGCAGTCTCTCCCATTATTACCCCTTTACCATCAAATTCAAATGCCTTATTCGTAATGTAATATGTGCGTTTTGGTGACATAGATGATCTTGCCAAATTGGCGAAACTGGTAGAAGGTTAGCAAATAGGTTTACTGAACATCTTCGGGATATTGAACAATGTAAAATTTCCCAAGTCTCTTCACATTTCAACGGGGATTAACATAAATGTGTATTAGATCTATCCATTATTGCACTGAATTCCTGTACCAACACACAAGAGATTTACACGATACATACTACTAGAATAAACATGAATCACTCTAAATGTGCATAGTTGTTAGACAAACACATTCTAAATAATCCCCAAACCTTGCTTGTCACTGTGAAGGTGGGATCTTTGACAATTCGTCTCCCTGTTTTAGATGAAGTTTTAATTCAACCGGTGTCATTTTTGCCGCCGTGAAAATTAGTTAGTCGTACATTTCACAGCGGGGTCTGTTTTTCCTACCGTGATATTTATGAGACGGGACATCGACTTCTGTGAAATTTCGCCGCCAATTTTTAATTATTAAAATTTAGAAAAAAAAATTGTAATCTAAAAAGAAATGATCTTATTTTATTTTCCTGCAGACTACGTATCTATACAACAAGCTAAGAGTGTTCGATTGTTACTGTTTTTGCTGTCCAAGGCTTTTTGGCCGAAACATACAATATCGGTTTGTTTTTTTTTTCATCCAGTTTCCCCATACCTTATGTATATTTATATTTTGCTTCATCCTAAACGCAGTCCATCCGTATTGATCCATCACTAAACATTGGTCTATTATTAGTCTTGACAAAGTCTTGCCACTGGATAAAATTAGCCAAGGACGAGATAGTGGGATTGATGAAAGTCGCGACTCTCCATCAATTTCTCCAAATGAAATGCTTGACTCTGGGCTATTGCCAGGTGTCCGCTCACCGTCGTATGCTGAATTGGTAATCATCTCGATGACGTCACCGTCAAAAACGTGTCAACGATTATTGACATTCAACCAACATCCCGAGTGACAAAACTGAAATCTGCCAAATGGCAAACCTCCCGATTGCCTAAATCGAAATCAGCCAAATGGCAAACATCCTATGTGACAAAATTGAAATCTGCTAAATGGCAAACATCCCGAGTGATTAAATCGAAATCAGCCAAATGGCAAACATCCTAATAGACAAAATTTAAATCTGCCAAATGGCAAACATCCCGAGTGATTAAATCGAAATCAGCCAAATGGCAAACATCCCGAGTGACAAAATTGAAAACTGCCAAATGACAAACATCCCGAGTGCCAAATATGATATCTGCCAGAAGATAAACATCCTGAGTGCCTAAAATGATTTCTTCAGAATGACAAAACATCATGTATGACAAAATTGATATCTGTAAAATGACAAACATCTTGATGGACAAATTTGTAACCTGCCAAATGACCTTTCTGACAAAACTGTGATAAGTGCACGATCCCATTAGATGATCGCGACGTCAAGTAAAGTCCATAAAAAATTAAGAAATCTTGTTAAAAAACATAAACACCTACATTCTGTGACACGATTCACGCCATCTCCGACACGCAATTATGCATTGACCTGAAGAAATCTAGTACGAAGGAACGATGTACGAACTAGGTCCACACCGGGACAAAAGAATTGACTCTTGATTGTCACGGCCATGTGTGACAGATTATAGACGACACAATTGCTCGTGGTAGGTATTCAACACCTTTTGGACTGGACTAGCACGAAGATATGTTAAATGTCTGATGGGCGTACATGAATCGCTTAGAGACAGTATACAAAAGTGCATGTTTGTCTCTACCCAAATAACAGTAAGTTAAATAAATGATTAATAATAATAATAATAATAATAATAAAGTTCATTTCAAAAACACGCTTCATCCCCAAAGGCTTGAAGCGCGGTACAAAGTCAACAAAATACAAATCTATAATTTACCACATTTAAAACAATCGCAACACTACAAAAACTAATTACTAGCATACAATTGCAAAGTCTTTCTAGCCATTTCAACCCCAAGCAACACAGCAATTATGCATTAACTGGAAAATAAGGTTGACAATCATCCCAGATTCACATGTATCTTACGTATTTATCTACAGAACAATCATTTGAGATTATGTTTGACTAAAATACAACACTTTTTGCTACATATGAATTATCAAATATGGTCTATCATTTCCATGAAAACTGCACATTAGCTTTTTTAGTAATTATCTGATACACTACTTGTGTTTGTAAATGAGTTGATTTACAGTTTTTTTTTTAATATGGCCATTCCAGAACTTCTTTGCTAAAATTGTGGTTTGAACTTCAGAAAAAAATATTTTCGTGAATGATATTTACGTTATAATTTTTTGCCTGTCTAACTTCAAGTAGAGCAAAGATCCTCTATAGATCTTCTCTAGTTCTTACCAACTCGTTCCCATTTTTATTTCAGCGTAATCTGGATCTGGCAAACATTCTAAATAGCTAGCTAACACCGGTATGGATGAATTGTGTGTACACAGACAGAACCTACAAAAAATCACCATCCTTGCACATAGCACCACTTCTGCTTGGATCCTAAGGGTCAACGTTCCACTGTAGATCCTTGTCAACCTCTATTCACCTGATGATTTTTAGTTCTTCCCAGTTCTTCTTATTCTTAAGGTTTCAATAAAATATTTGTCGTGTTATATTTGGCATTATATTTACCGCTTTATCATTAAAACATCGATAACCAAACCATCTCATTTTAAAATGATCTAGAACAGCAAGATCCCTTATAACAGAAGACATATCACAGCACCACCAGTAACAGTAGCACCTGTAGCAGCACAACCTGTAACAGCAGCACCTGTTACAGCACCGCTTGTAACACTACAACCAATTTTAGCAACACCAGTGACAACATCTTCAGTAAATGCTTAGCTGGCGTTACATCTCATGGTAGATACATCATTATTGACAACGGCTACAGTATAAACATAGCCAGCAACAAAACTTCCTGCAATATAAGCGCCGACTATTTCCTAGCCATCATTTCCAACGATGGACGAAGTCAGCAACTCTTTCGTTGCATTGGATTACGTGGTCTTTGCTTCCATGTTAATCATCTCCCTTGGCATAGGTGTTTGGTTCGCATTCAGGGGAGGCAAGCAGAAAACACAAGGTAATGACATTTTGACATATGGACTGGCAGACAAGCATAACATGTAGAATTGTTGCCAGTATCAGCCAACTAGGTTAAGCAGAACGTGGACAATTTTTGCTAGTATCAGCTACACAAAAAAGCAGTATCTGTAGAAATTTGCTAGTATAATCTATCTAGAAGAACCATAACTTTTAGAATTGTTGCTAATATCAGCACATAAGATTAAAGATTAGCAGTGTGTAGGAATTTGGCTGGTACTACCTATCAAGGAGAACCTTAACCTGTTGTAGTATTGCTAGCATCAGTAAGATAATCAGAACACTTAGAATTGTTTCTTGAATGAAGTGAGAATCTCTTAAATCAACAACCACTGTTTATCGCGTAATAACAGTTTTGTTTGGTAAAGCAAGTTAAACTAATAATTTCAATATTTTTGGATAATTTTGTAAACTCATAACGTTTTTTTTAGTTCATGAGTGTAAGTTCCTCCCCTAGTACACGACACTGATGTTTTAATTCATAAAGTAAAAAACTCACCCCGTGGTGTTGATTTATTAAAAACCTAAATTTGACAGGAGAGTATCTGATGGCCAACCGAAACATGTCCATCCTTCCTGTGGCCATATCCATCCTGCTCTCTTTCATGTCGGCCATCTTGATTCTAGGAACCCCAGCGGAAATGTACACGCAAGTGAGCCTCAAAACTGTACACACTCGTTGGTCTCAGACTTTACACGCAGGTGAGCCTCAAAACTGTACACACTCGTTGGTCTCAGACTCTACACGCAGGTGAGCCTCAAAACTGTACACACTCGTTGGTCGCAGACTTTACACGCAGGTGAGCCTCAAAACTGTACACACTCGTTGGTCTCAGACTTTACACGCAGGTGAGCCTCAAAACTGTACACACTCGTTGGTCTCAGACTTTACACGCAGGTGAGCCTCAAAACTGTACACACTCGTTGGTCTCAGACTTTACACGCAGTTATCTCAAAAAACTGTACCATCGTGCTTATGAAGTAAATATTTGTAACTAAATAGGCTTACCATTGTTCGCTTAGGTAAATTAAACTTAATTTTATGTCAATATTTGGCTATTTATAGCATAATATTGACAGAAATTCTGTTTAACTATTCTAAAGCTTATAGATATCTAAGTCTAAGCACATAAAGACACATTTTTCATATTCCATGACATCCACATTAACATCTCTTTCACACATTTTCACCATCCATGACATCAACAACAATAAAAAATCTGCTTCACTGTTTTCACCATCCATGACATCCACAACAATATATCTCCTTCGCAGTTTTCATAATCCATGACATCCACAATAACATATCTCCTTCGCAGTTTTCACAATCCATGACATCCACAATAACATATCTCCTTCGCAGTTTTCACAATCCATGACACGCACAATAACATATCTCCTTCGCAGTTTTCACAATCCATGACATCCACAATAACATATCTCCTTCGCAGTTTTCACAATCCATGACACGCACAATAACATATCTCCTTCGCAGTTTTCACAATCCATGACATCCACAATAACATATCTCCTTCGCAGTTTTCACAATCCATGACATCCACAATAACATATCTCCTTCTCAGTTTTCACAATCCATTACCTCCACAACAATATATCTCTTTCACAGCCATACTTTTAGCTAGGATATTTTGTTAAATAATTCATGTTCTTTCACACTACCATACACGTAGCTAGCACATTTTGTTAAATAATTCATATTCTCGCACACCCGCAAACACTTGGCTAGCACATTTTGCTATCTTTTCATTGGTTTTCTGCTGTCGCCCAGGGCACAGAATATTTCATCGTCGCCTTCGGGATGTTCTTTGGCGTGGTGCTGGCGGCTGTTCTGTTTGTACCTCTGCTGTACCCCTTGAAGCTAACAAGTTCTTTCGAGGTGAGTTCAACATACGAAACACTTCCTAAAGTTATTTTGTGGGTTGTTGTTCTGCTGAGTCGGTCTCACCATTGAACACATCCTTCCTCAGTGTTGTAATTAGTTTTCTATTTGTTTTTGGAATGAAAAGTTTGTTAATAAGCGCTGATGCAGAAAAAGAAAGAATACTACAATATAAGACACACGCCTCAGAATATAATATTATAGGAATTCAGGAAAAAATACCATTAAAAAAAAGATAATTTGATCATTGAATGGCTATTTCAGTATCTGATTAACTAGTAAAATTACCCGTCTTTGACTAATGTGATAGAATGACGCGTATCGTGGGAATTTTATCATACCTGTTTTTAAAGTTTTAGATTTGTGCAGCCTGTGAGATCTTGTAGTCAAAGCCTACTAACTCATTTAATGTTATTTTCTTGAAAATTATTCTACACATTTTCCCACTGTTTTATTTTAATCGTTATTTTAGGTGCTTTTGCGTACGCTGTTGAAAACATCGCCAAGAGAATAAACACAAATATCGACCGGCTGTTCAGAAAATGTTGTATTAAAATATACTGCTAATACATGTGTTTGTAACTTCAATTTTACTTTCATAACCAGCGGAAATTCGAAGGGACATAATCCAAATTTTGTACCGTTATTTTTTACAACTTCCACTGACCCCAAATTCGCATTATGCCATTTCATTCAAAGCTATATTAAGCGTTATTTTTAACATGATAATACTTTTATCCCCCTCCCCCTCCCCACTCTTTCCAGTACTTAGAGAGAAGGTTTAACTCAAGAGGCGCTCGACTTCTTGGCACAATGTTAATGATCCTTACACAGGTGAGTTGGTGAAGATCAGGTTAACAACGAAAGTGGACAGTTTATTTCATGGACGGTCATTACTCTTTAAAAAAAAGGAAGTTTTGAAACATAAAATAAGTGATTGGGAATTGATTTAAAAAATATATTGTCATGTTTCCTATTATATGTTCTCTATTAACTTCATAAAATGTCTGTTTATCTTAGTGAATATCAGATGAACTACTTATTATTTTTTTTTACGTGCCCGTGTACTAACACGAACTTCAAGGCTTAACATATCTATTCTTTATTAATATAAACATTACAAAGGATAGATAAAATTCACTGTTGGAATGATGCTTGAGTTCAGTTCATAATAAATGAATTTCTCTTGACAAGGAACACGTGACGTCATTCATACATGGTATCCCTATTTTTTTTACTCATGATACAAACAGTTCATAACCACTTTTTCATCCAATACAATATGGCTGCTCAATTAGTTCCTTACTTTCTTTAATTATTTGTATGTATCACTACATTGACATGAAATAGTTTTTTCCTACTGAGCAGTAAATGAACCTCAAATATTATTATGTTACTTTAAATGTTAAAGATATTTTAAAAAAAATATGCTACTTGAAAGGATGTCTCTAAAAGTTTTGATTTTTTATTTTCTCTAGCTCCGTTTACAAAGTCATAAATATTTATAACAACTTCATATCTTCATAAATAAGGATAATACAAAAGCAACATTTCATCTAAATGGCTGATGCTTTCTTTCATCACATCTGATATACATATGACTACATATTTGATTTAATTATCAGGTCATCTTTAGAGCTATTTATCGCATTCTATAATGAAGTCATCTACATGACTATATTTGTATTTCACCATCAGGTCGTCTATATAGCGATTGCTACCTTTGCTCCGGCAACAGCCTTGGAGGCTGGTAAGCGAAACATAGTAATTTAATATCATGCGCAATCTATACAAATATAACTGTTTAATATTCAAATGATCACTTCTAACAAAATATGACATTTCAACAAGCCAATGTCGAGCACTCAAGCAAATTATTGAAGAAAACTTAAAATGATATTATTTTTTTTAAAATGTCCAGTAAAAACTAGTCCAGTATGTCAAATATTATCCAATCATTCCAAGTGTTGGATGTATTATTTATATTGAAAATTTCAATAACTAATATTTATGCCCCTAGCAAGTCACTGAAATTAAAATAACAAATTTCTCTCCCTCCTCTACCCAGTGACGGGTTTTCCCGTTTGGGGCACAATCTTGAGCATTGGGGCAGTTGGGACGTTATACACGACAATCGTGAGTATTTTGACAATTGGGATGTTTCACACGGCGATTGTGATATTCATAGTCCTGAGTTTTTTTAATTAAAAAAAAAACTAATGTGAAAAAAATATTATACTATGAAAGTACTTGTGTAAAAAAACAAATAATGTTGAAAAAATTATTTTTACTATGAATTTATTTATGTAAAAAATAAATTACACAAAAAAAAAATAATTATAACATGAACGTTTTAATGTAAAAAAAAAATAAGGTTACAAACATTATTATAATATGAAAGTATTTATGAAAGTACTTAGGTACGCATGAAATCATTGCCTGTTTATTTTGTTAACTCATTTGATCAGCCAAATAAATAAAAGTCAAGTTAAAATCTCGCCTCGTCCTATTTTCTGAGTATTCTCTTCCATTCCTTGGCCAGGGCGGCATGAAGGCCGTGATATGGACAGACGTCTTCCAGTCGGGCGTCATGCTGGCCGGTATCCTAGCCATCGTAATACAGGTGACTGAAGCGGGCACTCTAGTCATTTAATGCTTTAAACACTGCATTAATAAATGAAGGTTTTTATTAAAGCTGAATGATATCAGTTGTACAAGAAACAAAGAACGGTGGACAGACAAATAGGAAGGATCCGAACCAAGAGCAAACGGCTATATGCACATCATATATTGGAACATATACATAAATTATACCATAAAACTGAATTTCATCATAAATATAAAATGGACATAAAATATACCAAATATACCCATTATAAAAAAATTGAAAGCTAAATTACTCCCTAGAACTACCGTGTATCAAAGGAAAACAGCTGTTTCCGTAGAAAACATTATACGCTAGCCAGAAATTGGAAGCTAGACATACTCTTCTGAAGTCAACGAGAATGATTCCAGTTATGCAATGTAGCTATGAAATATACAGAATGGCACACTTGTTTTAGTTATACTGTTCTTAATTTGTGAGATAATAAATACATTTTAAAATAATGCCTTAATAAAAGTTCTAGAATTAATAATAATAGCTATTTAACTACAAAAAACAACAACAAAAAACACAAAAAGACAACAAACAAACAAAAAGACATGATCACATCTAGGAATAAAATAGTGATTTTCCTCTTATTCACAGTAATAGTTAGAACCACATTCCAGATTTATTAAATGTTGATTTAAAATATGTATTCTATAGTGATTCATTAAATGTTGAGTTCCAACATTCTAAAAATGATTTATTTTAAATGAAACTGTACAAAAGATGCATCCCTTAAAAATTTGTTTATAGATCACTCTCAGGGATGTTATAAATGCTGGTTTCTTTACCTCTCTCTGACCAGGCTGCTGTAAATAATTGTCTGTTTCTTTACCTCTCCTTCAACAGGGTGTTGTAAATGTTTGTTGTCTTTTTATGTCTCTCCCACTTGGGTGCTATACATTTTGGATTTCACTTTACGTTTCTCTCACCAGGGTGTAATAAATGATGGTTGTCTCTTTAATTCTCTCTCACCAATGTAGGTTGCCTCTTCCTCTCTCCCAACACGTTGTTATAAAAAGTTGGTTGTCTCTTTACTTCTCTCTCACCACGTTGTTATAAAAAGTTGGTTGTCTCTTTACTTCTCTCTCACCACGTTGTTATAAAAAAGTTGGTTGTCTCTTTACTTCTCTCCCACCACGTTGTTATAAAAAGTTGGTTGTCTCTTTACTTCTCTCCCACCACGTTGTTATAAAAAGTTGGTAGTCTCTTTACTTCTCTCTCAACACGTTGTTATAAAAAGTTGGTTGTCTCTTTACGTCTCTCCCACCACGTTGTTATAAAAAGTTGGTTGTCTCTTTACTTCTCTCCCACCATGTTGTTATAAAAAGTTGGTTGTCTCTTTGCTTCTCTCTCACCACGTTGTTATAAAAAGTTGGTTGTCTCTTTACTTCTCTCTCACCACGTTGTTATAAAAAGTTGGTTGTCTCTTTACTTCTCTCTCACCACGTTGTTATAAAATGTTGGTTGTCTCTTTACTTCTCTCTCACCAGGGTGTCATAAAAGTTGGAGGCCTGTCACGTGTCTGGGAGATCAATGAACAGTGGGGAAGAATCAAATTTTTCAAGTTTGTTCTTTTTTTTTTTTCAATTGCATTAAAAGATCCTCTTATTTTACACCTCTATATACACTTTCTTTTGTCCTTAGTTCTTTTAAAGAGAAGAATGTCACTTTTTTTTGTAGAATCATCTCAGCAATCACCAAAAGTTAGCCGACAAACATGGAATGATAGTGAAGTGGTGCACGTAGAGACTGTTAGGTAGTCAGTTGGTTTTAAGGTGTATTTATTTTAAGAACTTGAAAAAGTAGGGGTCAAACGAATAAGGGCACTTTGTAACTAATCACATCATTACAACTGAGACCAACTTGCGTTCACAGCTTCAGTCCTGACCCCACGGTCCGTCACACTTTCTGGAACATCATCATAAGCTCAGCCGCATTGTGGATGGGGCACTACGGCATCAACCAGGCCAGTGTGCAGCGGTACTCAAGCTTGCCGACACTGAAGAATGCAAAGATGTACGTGTATGCGAGACGATGTTTGGCATTTTGTTATTTTGTGTATGCAGTTTGAGAAAACTTAAAATATTTCACGTGGACCTCTTTGATGATTTGTGTTTCTGTGGTGTTTTACATTTTTTTTTTTTTTTTTTTTTTTTTTTTTTGTTTTTTTTTTTTTTTTTTTTTCTTTTTTTTTTTTTTTTTTTTTTTTTTGTGGTTTGAATATTTATATTATTACCCTATTTTTTTTAAAGAGGCGAGAAATGAAATTTACTTTACGTAATTATGAATTTCAAATTTTTGTTTGGTAACACAATTCGCCTGTTATATGGCTTCCAATAAAACGTGACAAAATATTTTCAACTAAATCTATAACTTTGGCTAAATCCCATGTCCGGATAATTGTTTTGCATAGTTGGCAACCCAACAGTTCCACTCAGCCCCTTTCCCTCTTATGTTTGCGTTTCCTGACACCCATAATCTAGAGGCCCTTACCCAATTTCGTCTACCTTCCACTGGAATATGTTTAAGGAATTAATCATACAAACCTATAGATGGAAAATGCCCTAGCACCTAGAAGGCCTCACGTAGGCTCTAATCTGAGACGTAACTAAGACACATTCAATGAGCTTTTGTAGTAACGATTATCCATGTTTTCATCTTACATCATATTCTAACTGTCCTGTTTTCTGTCCTACATAATATTCTCACAGTTCTGTGCTACTGAATTCCATCGGGGTGTTCTTTCTGCTTGCACTGACCTGCTTGTCTGGAATTGTTCTCTTCGCCTACTACGCTGACAAGAACTGTGATCCCCTTGGCCAGAAACTTGTTCAGAACTCAAACCAGGTAAGTGATTCGTGAATGTTGGCTCTGTACTTCGTCTTATAATCTTATTATGGGGCTAGAACATATCTCATAGAATCATTATCAATGTCAGTATTCTAGTTGCTTATTATTGCCCTAATGTGGAACTAATTTCAATAGCAGCTATTGAAGGTGATTATAATAAATTACACTTAAAACGCTAAATAATTTTTAAGAATATTTTAAAAAATTGCTTCAATCTCATTTAACCTGTTTCTTCAGTCAGCCGTTTTTTTTTATTAATGTGAGATTAAGAGACGAGTTTGACTCACTTTTTTTACCATAATTTACGGTAGGATGGCTGGGTATTCAATTAAACTCATGAAATGTGCAAGTGAAAACCGGATTTCCCATGTACATCTTGATTAGATCTTGTTCCGTGTCTCCTATTTGTAGCTGATACCTTACTTTGTCATGGAAACACTTGCATACCCTGGAGTTCCTGGTCTTTTCATCTCAAGTCTATTCTCTGGTGCTTTAAGGTAAAGCTGAACTTATGAAATTATTTCTTAGTTTCTGTTTCATGTACAGCGCACTCGATGTTGTTACTTTTCGGTAAAGTCCCGAAAACCAAATGAAAATGTATAACGTGCTATATTAAATATTCATAATGTGGCTCTCTTTGAGTTAAGTCGATTATGAATTTACGCCATTCATCTTATGCAGCTCAGTCTCCTCCTCGCTTAATGCACTTGGCGCCATCACTTGGGAGGACATCTTAAAACCAAGATATGACAAAAAACTGACAGAGTACCAGAAAACGTTAGTCACAAAATTGGCTGGTGGGTACAAACAAATTTTTTTTTTTTGAGTTAGGGGATTTAAACAAAGTGTTTGAACTAGAAATGAAAAGTCCATGTCATTAAAGGGGAATGAAACGTCATAATAAGGTGCGGGAATAACCGTTCTGCTACTATTTGCACATACTGTCATTTTAAAAATGAAAATATTAAATGCCAAAAAAAAAAGATTCGGGAATTTCCGCGAAAAAAAACTTACAAACTATAAATAAAACAAAAGGAAAACAACACAATTTATAGTTGTCACTCTTGGCACGTGGACAGTGGATGTGCACGTGACGCTTAACTGGTCAGACAAGTTTGTGAGTTCGTAATGTGAGCTACATAAAATGAGAACAACGCTTGGAAAGGAGGCAACCAATCGAATACATTAATAATTTGAATGTATAATATTTACATATTTTAATGCACAGTGTATAATAAATGAAGGAGTGAAGGTGTGCGTCCCCAACTGTTGTGAAGCACATCGTGGAGCAATGTATTTCGAAACGTTTTCCTTTTATTGTACTGTCTTTATGTTTCCAGCGTCCGCATACCTTGTTCCGCGCATTCCTTTAAGGCACAATGGATGATGGCTGTCGATGAAAGCGCTAACTAATCGATAATCGTTAGGTTGTAATTAATGTCTTTTAAAAAATACATTAAAATATGATTGGTCTGAAATCCGTAAACTATATGGAAAAGATTTGACGCAATTTATGATGTTATGTAGCAAAGCTCATATGACTTCATTTTATGTTTTTAGTTTGTTCGTATGGAATTTTGGCGATGGGCCTGAGCTTTTCAATAGAACACCTGGATGGGACAGTCATGCAGGTACGTATTTGTCAGTGCTATGGGGGATGGGGTATACAGATAGAATACATTTAAAAGTTCAGAAATATGAACTAATTGTTTTTTTTATATATGTCAGTTAGGGCCAACTGCCGTATTAGTTTCTTGAAATTTTGAAGATATTTAATAAATACTAATGATTAAGTTCTTTAATTTATTGTATTTTAGTTCTACTCTTAAAATTACCATTACTGACACGTATATATAAATCGTTATTTCAAAATTTTGATGTTTGAGCTTTTCACAACTCTCCAGACCCAATTCATTGGATGCGTATTTCTTTCATTGAATAACGTAAACTGAATTTATTTCTATGTCCAGATGTCCGCAAGTTTAACTGGCTCTGTGTTTGGACCCCTGGCCGGAATGTTTATTTTGGGAGCAATCTTTCCTTGGGCCAACAGATATGTATGTCAATAAGAATGGAATGTTACTGATTGCCTTTACATGATTTATATTTTTTGAGGACATTTTTTTTTTAACAAGTTCCGATTTTTACATTATATTATCGGTCAAGAAGCTTTTTTTATGGCTAAAAAATATAATAAGTCTTGGTTTTCAATGCAACACTTTTATTTTATATTGAATTGATGTTTTATTTAACAAATTAGTAAGATTGTGTGTTAAAAAGCCTTGTGTGGAATCCATCTTGTCATGGCAAGAAGAGCAATGTTTAACATACATTACAATGTTGCAAACGTATTTTCTCTTCTGCAATAGCTTACCCGAGATGTGTTCATGTTTTAAATTGCAGTAGACTGTCATTTGAGTCTAATTGAATGTTAAATTAACGTAATACGGATTTAATTGGTGACTATTCAATGTTAAATTAACGTAACGTTTATTTATTTGTGACTATAAACATATTTATCTAAACCTAACATGTATATGTTTTCACCCCTCCTCCAGGGTGTTATCTCGGGAGGGCTGGTCGGCCTGGGTGTAAGCATGTGGTTGTCGGTTGGCTCCTTTGTCTACGGAATACGCCTACCCAGTAAACCCTTTCCGAATGGCACGTGCCTGGCACACCCAAACATCACCATGACAACCACTACAATGGCGTCACTGAACACGGTGCTGACCTCGCAGTTACCCAACAAGGACATAGAAAGGTACAAGTATGTTGTTAATTAAATAACAGTACTATAAATAAATATCGTGGAAGGATTTGTAAATGAAGCAGGTGCAAGCTTTTTATTCAGATGGAAATAAACATTTCTACTTTTATCACTGAAAAAAATGACCATAATGTGTTCAAAGGGTATTCTAAAAAAAAAAAAAAGAAATAAAAATAAATTTACAAAGATTTTTTAAAGGTTTTATATTAATGTATGATTTTATGAAGAACGATACTGATGCAATCGTGTTTTTAGCTATCACGTGCCAATGTCTTCATCTCTTCTTCTATATCTTAAGGGCCTCCCGGTCAATGTATTGATAATTCTGGCTCCTATTTATGTAGATGGAATTCACTATGTTTCTGTGCCTGGTATTGAAGCGGATATTTCGCTGGTTGCCAGGGCTACTCAGCGATGGTATTAGGAACTGGGGGTTGGAAGGCCTAAGGCAATAGATGCAAAATTGTCAAGTGTTGTCGCCTCAACTGTTCCTTTTTGAAGCTTGTTCCAGTCTCTGATTTTCCTTGGCAGGGATGAGTACTCTGATCTACACCTTACCAAATAAGGATCATTATTTAAAAAAAAAAAAAAAAATTTAAATAAAGTTTGAATAGATGAAATTACATCCAACTTAGCAGCCTCGTTGAAACTCTGGCTCTTACAAACATAAAACCTAAAGTAATCGAAGTATTAGATCTGTAATTAATACAACAATGGCATTGTTGTTTTGCTTCTAGTCATGACATTAAACGAAGTTGGTTTAAAATCAAGAATTTAATTCAAACCCCCCCGCCCTAAAAAAAAATAAAAAAATAATAATTTATATTTCAATTTTCTGTGTTTCAAATCAGATCTGGCATCCTGCAGTTCTACAACTTGTCTTACCTGTGGTTCGGAACGGCTGGAACATTGTCCGTCATCATTGTTGGCCTGGTTGTTAGTTTCGTTACCGGTGAGACTAAAGACGGGGGTGAGATAACATGGGGGTTGGGATAGAGAGCTTATCATCAGCAGCTTATCATGGTCATTAAAGTTAAGATTAAGATCACTGACAAACCTGGTTAAACGTTATCCAATAACGGACCCTAAAAAAGCAATGACCCCGACACAGTGATTCTCATACCTTGGACAGTGGTTTTTTTGTCTCAAATTACGGACCCAAAAAAGCAATCACCCTGACACGGTGATTCTCATACCGTGGACAGCGGTTTTGTTGTCTCAAATTACGGACCCAAAAAAGCAATCACCCTGACACGGTGATTCTCATACCGTGGACAGCGGTTTTGTTGTCTCAAATTACGGACCCAAAAAAGCAATCACCCCGACACAGTGATTCTCATACCGTGGACAGCGGTTTTGTTGTCTCAAATTACGGACCCAAAAAAGCAATCACCCCGACACAGTGATTCTCATACCTTGGACAGCAGTTTTGTTGTCTCAAATTACGGACCCAAAAAAGCAATCACCCCGACACAGTGATTCTCATACCGTGGACAGCAGTTTTGTTGTCTCAAATTACGGACCCAAAAAAGCAATCACCCCGACACAGTGATTCTCATACCTTCGACAGCGGTTTTGTTGTCTCAAATTACGGACCCAAAAAAGCAATCACCCCGACACAGTGATTCTCATACCTTGGACAGCGGTTTTGTTGTCTCAAATTACGGACCCAAAAAAGCAATCACCCTGACACGGTGATTCTCATACCGTGGACAGCGGTTTTGTTGTCTCAAATTACGGACCCAAAAAAGCAATCACCCTGACACGGTGATTCTCATATCTTGGACAGCGGTTTTGTTGTCTCAAATTACGGACCCAAAAAAGCAATCACCCCGACACGGTGATTCTCATACCTTGGACAGCAGTTTTGTTGTCTCAAATTACGGACCCAAAAAAGCAATCACCCCGACACGGTGATTCTCATACCTTGGACAGCAGTTTTGTTGTCTCAAATTACGGACCCAAAAAAGCAATCACCCCGACACAGTGATTCTCATATCTTGGACAGCAGTTTTGTTGTCTCAAATTACGGACCCAAAAAAGCAATCACCCCGACACAGTGATTCTCATATCTTGGACAGCAGTTTTGTTGTCTCAAATTACGGACCCAAAAAAGCAATCACCCCGACACAGTGATTCTCATATCTTGGACAGTGGTTTCGGTGTCTATAGGAGGCCTATGGTTACTTAATATGGTATGTAATATAAATTTCAAAGTATTATTTCGGCTGTATGTATTGTATCATTACACGTGTATTATATATTTGTGCTACATAAATTGATTTGGTTATCATGATTATCTGACCTCGAACTAAATTCATTTCTAGGAGCCAATTCAATCCATGACGTCCCGACAAAGTACCAGATACCCTTGTTTAGCAGGTTGGGTTGCTGTTTACCAAGGTCGTGGCAACACTGGCTTAACTGCAAGAGGGAGTTTGACAGTCCTGAGGTAAAGGATCATACCAGTTAATGTATTTGTCCAAAGAAATATTTAAGTCTAATCAATGAAGATCATTCTCAAAGATATATCAATAAAGAGGGAATAGCCTTGCCCTTTTTTTCTTGATCATTCCGAGGATATCATTTACATTGTATCATTCCAGGTTATTCGTTCAGAAGAGAAAGACGTAGAATTTATCATTGAACCATGTGATAAAATAGATCCCCTTACATTTGATACACAACAGATGATTACAATGATGGTAAGATAAAAATACAATAACTTTTTTTTTCAAATTTCACATAACTGAGTTATAAGTCGCAAGAACAAGTATAATGTTTACAAGTTGCTAAAACATTATATTGGGGATTGATAAGGGCAACTCTATAAAGATATATGGACAACAATTAGGGTTGATTAGGGAGCAAAAAAAAGAGTTTTAGATAAAGAAAATAATTGTTGAGTTGGATATTGGTTATCCATGCGAGTGTGTGTGTTTCAAAGAGATAGAAAGAGAGAGAAAGGGAGAGCGGGAGAGAGTGTGGCGAGAAAGAGAGAGAGAGAGGGGAGAGAGATAAGAAAATGAGAGAGAGAGACGGGAGAGAAAGAGATGGAGAGGAAGCGAGTGGGAAGGAGATAGAGGAAGATAGCGAGAGTGGGATAGGAGGGAAGAGAAAAAGGGAGAGAAATGAAACTAGGGCAGCATGCAGATGTGTATTAAAGTAAAGCATGTTAATTAAAAAAATTCAGTGCAAATGGTTTTCCCTTCTAATTCTATCTCTTTAGGCAGAGTCTTCAAAAAAACAAACCTTATTCAGTGACTTTGTAAAGAACCCTAACTCGGAGAAAGAAGGACAACCTATTCAACTGTTTTCTTACCCAGGCTATGTGAAAAATGATAGGTTGTCTGACACACTCCTTAATCTTGGTCTGGTATATTCAATAAATAACTATAACGCTGAGCGTCCTAAATTAGACAACACACATTCAGTTGATATCAAACAACACACTGTCGACAAAATCATTTTAGAGGATATTGAACAACCTTTTCTTGACAACACCATATTAGATTATATTGAACAAACTACTCTTGACAACACCACGTTAGGGGATATTGAACAACCTACAGTTAACAGCACCACATTAGAGGATATTGAACAACCTACTCTTGACAAGACCACGTTAGAGGATATTGAACAACCTACTGTTGACAACACCATATTAGGGGATATTGAACAACCTACTCTTGACAAGACCACGTTAGAGGATATTGAACAACCTACTGTTGACAACACCATATTAGAGGATATTGAACAACCTACTCTTGACAACACCACTTTAGATGACATAGAACACCTCGAACAAACTGAACAACCAACGATATTGAGAGAGGAGCCACTCGTTTTAGACGTGACTGTCTCAGAGCACTCAGTTCATTGTCCAATGGACAATCTTATAGTAGAACGTCTCTAAATGAACAAGATTCTCTGACGGCGCTTCATAACAAAAAAGTTTGAACAATGTTAATGGTGAACATAAAATCATCATTTTATAAATAGGACGTTTGTGCAGATAATGTTTTGAAGTTTTTTTCTGTTTGGGGCCATTATTTTTTACAAACATTACCCTCCGTAAGCACACACATAGTTAACAACACGCTTGTATGTCAAGCTTTGGTAATTCCTTACATCGTACCATTAACTAACGTTTACTTACACCTCCATAAATTTTTTTATATCTTATTTTTTTCCAGTTCATTTATTTGGCTTGTTGATAATTGTTAAGTTGATTCAGTTCATCGTTATTAAATAGGTGTTGAATTTATTATTTCTTTGGTTTATCGATAATTGTTCTGTTGATTATGCTTAAAGTGTTTTTTTTTATTGTTTTACGTCACATAAGTTTTGACTCTCAAAATCGTAGTCACCTTTCTATATTTACTTGATTCATTTATTTTAAAAAAAAATGTAATAAAAATTAGAAGTACGAAACAACTGACGATAAATTCTTAACGCTATTAATTTTTTTTTTTTTTTTTTTGTGTATGTGAATACAAATCAAGATTTACATGCCTTTTTAAAGCACTAAACCATTTCATTTACACACAATTTACTTTGAAAACCATTCAGTGTGCTCTTTTGGAAAACTGCCGGATTCCTCACCAAATCATACATTTTTGAGTGGAAGGAAATGTTATAAATATCTCCATACACCCAAAATGAGATATTTTACTGTAAATCCAGCGCATGTTTTGAAAGGCGCGCCATTAACAACATAAAAAAAGCAGGCTTTAAAGTTAAAGTATGAAGGGGAAAAACACGCTGTTTTCTTTTGGCTTGTGCTATCCTATTTGTTACAATTTAAAGTAACACGTCATACTTTAAATCTATCTAGCAAGACTGGAAGAAGGAGTTCCGTTTCAAACTATGCTGTGTTGTTTTGGCTTGTGCTATCCTATTTGTTACAATTTAAAGTAACACGTCATACTTTAAATCTATCTAGCAAGACTGGAAGAAGGAGTTCCGTTTCAAACTATGCTGTGTTGTTTTGGCTTGTGCTATCCTATTTGTTACAATTTAAAGTAACACGTCATACATTAAATCTATCTAGCAAGACTGGAAGAAGGAGTTCCGTTTCAAACTATGCTGTGTTGTTTTGGCTTGTGCTATCATATTTGTTACAATTTAAAGTAACACGTCATACATTAAATCTATCTAGCAAGACTGGAAGAAGGAGTTCCGTTTCAAACTATGCTGTGTTGTTTTGGCTTGTGCTATCCTATTTGTTACAATTTAAAGTAACACGTCATACATTAAATCTATCTAGCAAGACTGGAAGAAGGAGTTCCGTTTCAAACTATGCTGTGTTGTTTTGGCTTGTGCTATCCTATTTGTTACAATTTAAAGTAACACGTCATACATTAAATCTATCTAGCAAGACTGGAAGAAGGAGTTCCGTTTCAAACTATGCTGTGTTGTTTTGTGGGTGCCTTAATAAGTAAAATACTTTTTTTTAAATGATCTAATATTAATATCGACCAGAGACATAGAAAGAATTCCAAATAGCAGAGTGAAGAGGGTGCACCACAAAAAAAACAACAAAAAAACCCAGAGGAAAACGTCTCAAAGGCCGACCTTAGGCTTAGATGGATGGATGATGTGCAAAAAAAAATCTTCACCAGGTCGGAATTCGAGGCATGGAACAGAAAAGCATCATTTTGTTTAAGTGGGATGACGCAATGTTTTTGGCTTTTATGAGAATATAAATTTTAAAAAAAATATTGTTCCAAAATTAAGTTTCTTAAACTTAACAGGAATCAAGGGATGCGTTTGAAACGTCATAAAAAAAAGACAACATGTTGCGTCTTAGGCCTTCATGGTCTATTTGTAAAATGAGACTTGAAGATGGTTAAAAAGAACTCGAAATTCTACTCCAAGAAATCAAGATGGAGTCGTAACGCCTTAAGACGGATGAATGTTTGAATTTCATCAAGGATTTATTGCTTGCCTTTGATGACTTCGATAGCTGCATTGCAATGTGTCTACGGGTATGATAAGCTGGGGTCATAAAAAAATCTATTCTGCGACTCTTATATTTTGATGATATTTTGGAGAAAGTGAGTGCTATTTCTTTGTGTATTTGTGTATTTGTAACGTGCATTTCATTTTGTCGCTATAATGAACCAGTCCTGTTCATGGTAGATATCTTTAAGTAGTATTTTAATTTAGTTATGTGCCAAGCTCATTTAACGTGAACCTTAACAATGTCCCCATTGTTAAATATGAGGCCACATGTGCTTGCGTTTCAGACTAGGAACTACATTTCTGCAGTCCTCGTTACACAAGCTGACCAGCGCCGTGTTTTCCAAAAAAATGCGTATGCATCAGTATCTTAGTAGATATTTTACTGTATAATGGTTGGATGGGATGAACTGTCATGAGCTCATTCTTAAATCGAACTGGTCTACGCGCATTTGTTATCTTAATAGTCAGATTGTTTTACATTGGCACTTTGTTAAGTCATATATAGACACCACGCGTGTGACGTATAATTGTGATAGCCACGTATCTAGAATGCGTTGTTAACAGAATCATCAATTACCTCAGGGTCTCCGTGTTTTAAACCAAGTACATGCTATTTGCGATCATAAATATATTGAGATTATATTATTATCGGATTATTTTATGTGCCCTTTGGATACTCGTGGTCTGTCTACTAATCATCATTGCCATTCAACTTTATAATTCAAAATGATCATTGTTCGTCTGAAAAAGGATGTTTATTGCTGATTTATGTAGGTGGTCATACTTTGAAAAACTGTCTAGTCAAGAGTCACTCCACATTTTTATTAAACGATTGGCAGACTTTGTATATCCCGAAAACCACACAAATTTCTGAGATAATCACTGCTTGGTATCGATGTGATGAATTCATTGTCTGAATTAACGCAAGGTAACTTTCACGGCAATACAGAATCGAATACTCGTGGCTCATCACAGATTTCGATAAATAGTGTAACAAGATTAGGACAGGCTTGAAAAATAAAAAAAAAAGGAAAGAAAGACGCCACGATTAAAATGATCTTTGAGCAGGAAGCATTTTTTTCTTCAGCAGACAACACAATAATAAACACCAGAAAATTCATTCTGTCATTCAAGCGTTGAAGTGAGAAAAAAGTGTATGGGGGGGGGGGGAGTGGAAAACACAAACAATACTAAAAAACGCGAGTCTAATCGTACCGGCTAAAAGCCCGCGTAACCCAACAAAATAGAAAATGATAAGTGAAGGACTGCGTTAGCGTTGAAGTGAGAAAAAAGTGTATGGGGGGGGGGGGAGGGGAAAACACAAAAAATACTAAACAACGCTAGTCTAATCGTACCGGCTAAAAGCCTGCGTAACCCGACTAAATAGAGAATGATAAGTGAAGGACTGCGTTGAAGCTGTGTGAAGGAGATAGTGGAACAAATCGTGGGGAAGCTTGGGGTATGAAGACAGGACAATAAAAATGAAACGTTTTTGTCCAAGGGCGCTTCCTACACAGACAGAACCAATGAAGAAGCAACAAGAAATAGAAAGTCGTTCAGACACGTACGTGTTCGCCCTTAATGTTATTGCCGGATGTTGGATTTTCCAAACACCAAGAATACATGTTTTTCTCTATTTGTATCTATTTTATTATTGAGCAAGTACACGTAATTTTTATATATACATATGAGCTTGTTTTCTACTATATAGCCGAGAGACTTTATACGATTCGAAATGAAAAAGTCAGACGCATCAAAAGATTAGTCTAGATCCTAGCTGTTACGGCAGATTGTTAATGGTAGTCCGTGTTTTGGACTGGAGATTTAATCGAACAGCAGCTGCGATGTGCTTTGCATTCGTGACGTACTTGAATATGAAAGATGACGTTGGTTGTAAGGAGGGTTTTCTTAAAGTAGTAATGGCATCTTAGAGAGAAAGCGGATTAAAGAAGACATGGCTGCTGCTGCTTTTGTAGGTGTTGTTGGTGTTGTTGGTGTTGTCCCCCTCCCCCAATAGAAAATCAAATGTCATTATTGATTATTGATTTGTTTAATCATTAGCCCTAAACTTACCGAAGCCGTCGAACTGCGTATCCCATAGTTGATATCCTGCAACAGAGGCGATCATAATTATAACATTGGTAAACCCTCAATTGTTTTACGAATCATAAAAGTTGATATTTCCATGCTTGCAGTAACGGTTGAATCACGGCCATGATGAGAGGCAAGCCACAATTGAAACGGCCAAGACATCTAAGTGTGTCGTTGCCTTTTTAAGAGTATCTGTCCGTGATTGCCGAAAATGCATTTTGTTGGGATATAATGGAGATGACACGCATCTCACAATTATAAATTTGAAAACGGATTTTATGTATACAACTAAAATGAAAAGAATTTGTCTTTTAACTTCGTTTTACGCATTTCGGGTTGGCGTGGGGAAAGGGGGGGTTTCATTTCAGACTATTCGGCATCTATCAGCAACAAAATTGGGCGTCACTGAATCGGTATACTTTTGGCCCCATTGTATACTTTTGGCGTCAATGTATATACTTTTGGGCCTATTGGTATACTTTTTCACCCTTTGGTATATATTTTTATCCCGTTGGTATACTTTTGCCCCATTGGTATACCTTTTACCCATTAGTATACATTCCCCATTGGTATACTTTCCCCCCATTGGTATACTTTTGGTCCCATTGGTATACTTTTTAAGCCGTTGGTATACTTTTCCTCCATTGGTATAATTTTTACCAATTGGTGTACATTACCCCATTAAGATACTTTTCCCCTATTGGTATACTTTTTCACCCTTTGGTATACTTTTTACCCCGTTGTTATACTTTTGCCCCATTGGTATACTTTTTCCCCATTGGTATACTTTCCCA